TTAAGGGAAGCAGTCATATTGTGGGAATGTTGGTTATTCTCAACAATATCCCAGATGCAGTAGTGAAAGGGATCTAGGTCTGGTGAGTTTGGTTGCCACACGTTTAGTGTGATGTCGTTGTGCAGGTTGGCGCTCATCCAATCTTGGGACACCACATTTTTGTGAGCAGGTGTAGACTCCTGCTGAAACACATGGCCTTCCATCGCATACAATGTCTATCCAGGGTTTCGCCACTGTTTTCAGCATCGTAGTGTAGCCAGCAACATTCAACCGAAATCCATGTTGAAAGAAGTGGGGTGTAATGACGTGTCCTTCACAAATCATCACCATTACAACCGAAGCGGGAAGCTTGGTATACATTGGCGACATCAGAATAATTCACACATAACCGCCTGTTATTTGTATTCGGTTGAAATCTTTTTTCGTCTAAAAAAGGGAGAAAAAGCAGAGAATGACAGGTTCTTCTGGATGTTTGAAATTTTCAGTAAAGGTTTTGCTTGGAGAATCTGTTGTTATTGTGTGTGTGTGTGTGTGGTGTGTGTGTGCCAATATGAACTGCTCTTGCCTCGTCACGTATGAGGTGTTCCTAATCTCCACATGCACCACATTGTGGATTGTGTCCTCGGACGCCCGGGTACCTCTGGCAATGGGCGTCATAGACGTTCCAGAATTAACCCCAATAATATTTTGCACCCACTGTTCGAATTGTAGTGTCTTAATACTGTTCAAACGCTGTAAATGCTTTCTGTGCTTTGCTGCAAGTGTCACATCCTCGTCGGAGGCTTCCAACTCCTTCCAAATTTTCTGCACAAACGACCTGGTAACTTCCAAGAATGAGTAACGGTGGAGTAATGGATAGCAGTTCGGATTGAGAAATCGGAGAGCCGAGTTCGAATTCCAGTCGAATCCATTACATTCACTTACGTGCTAATATGAATCCTCTTCTTCTCTCCCAGCTATAGGTAAATAGGATGACAACTGGTCTACCGCAGAAAGAAATGGCAACCTACTGCGGAAAAAATCTGCCTCATCAGTTATGTATCGCCGATGGTACATAACTGAATGAACTTCCAAGAAACGTGCAATTTCAAAATGGCTTTGCTTTGTGCTTATTCCAACAATTACAGTATGTCGTTTCATCTCATTAGTTAACTGATAGAAAAAATTATATTAATTGATTATCACATAACTGCAGACGCACAATCACATGTCCTCAAATACCTAACGCACACTGTATATATATATATATATATATATATATATATATATATATATATTTATATATATACAGAGAGAGAGAGGGAGAGAGAGAAAATTTTAAATAGTTTAAATAGGTAATCCACCGATTGTAGTTGGATACGCACACTTGTGCACGCACATACATTTACATGCGTATGTAGATAATTGTGTTATTAAGAAGATAGATATGTATAAATTAACATAGTAATAATCTGCCTCTGAATTGTAGACACAGTAATAGATAAATCTAACTGGAAATTGTATCTATAGAATAGATTACAGGTTAAAATCTCGATTGATATTAGTAGATAAATACAACCTGTCAGTTTCCCTAACATCGATAAACAGATACAGAAAAACCTATTGACTGCATATTTTTTCCTGTGCGAAAGAGAAGATTAACTTTTATTCTTCTATATGTATCTACATTGACGTATTCCATTTTTTCTTTCACTCCCTCTCTCTCTCTCTCTCCTCAACAGCGTGTGCGTGTGTGTTCGTGCGTAAGCTTTTGTTTGCGAAGCCTGTCCTCTGCAACTGAGTTTGTCCCATGCAATTCCGACAAAGGGCATCTTTTATCGGTAACTCATGAGCTGATCAGAATATCGAGAAATCTTAATGAAAAATGAACTCATCTGGAACCCTCAGCGGCTCAACATTTGAAAGAGACCGAAAACTCTTTTAGTGACTGAAGTGAATACAAGAAATGAAGGATAAATGGCAATAAGATATATCAAGGAGTGGCGGGAAGAAACTGGAAGAGAAGTCGTAGGAAGGGAACAAAAAAGAAGAAGAAAAAAAAAAGAACGTATGAAAAGAGAGAAGTAATAGGAAATAGAAGCAATGAGTTATATGGGAGTAAAAACAAAATTTTAAAAAGAAAAATGGGAAAAAGATAAAATGTAAAAGTAAAAAGGAATTTGAGAATGACGAATTGAGGAAAGTGTAGTTTAAATATAAAAAATAGTAAAAAGAAGGAAAAAAGAGGAAAAAGAAAGAAAAGGAGTAACTATGATTAATGCGAAGAAGAAGTTGCAAAATCGAGAAATAGGAATAAAATTTATATCACAAAATGTGGGACGTTGATGCCACTATTTTCCCATTTATAATTGAAGCGTAGGAGGTTTATACATCCGAAGTTAAAATCCTACATTGAGAAAATCGGAATAAAACATAGTATCTCATCACTTCAGAAGTCTGCGTTGCTTGGTACCGTAAATATTATGCGAAAGCTTTTCACTGTCTGAGGTCGTACGACTTGATGGAGAACATAATGGAAGATCTCTGAGTGCCCAGTCCTTGCTACGAAAGAATAGATTATTTGACATGACAGGCTAGAACAATATAACCATCGCCATGTCTGTTGGAACTATGTCTCTATCTATCTCGTCATCGTAAATATAGAGAAACACCAGACAGAGAGTAGATGCAGCCGTTCCAAGTGTGCCAAGATATCTCAGAGAGTAAATGTAGCCGTTCCAGGAGTACCAAGATCTGCCAGATAGTAGATATAGCTTTTCCAGGAATCTGCCAGATAGAGGATGTAATCGGTCCAGGAGTACCAAGATTGAAATTGAAAACGAGTATAAAAGTTTGATGATTATCTAAACCATACTAGAGAAATTAAGAAAAAGAAAATTGTAGAACATGAAAATTATAACTATACAAAGACCCTTTTGGACCATCCCTGTAGAGCCTCGAAGAGCCCTGAAAAATAAAAAATAAAATCTCCGCTGAAGCATTGAAAACATCCAGAAGAAACTAATGCTAAAATCAAGTTGTAAAACTGCAAGGATATTGAGGAAACTTGCAGTTACTTGACCTAGTGAGAGCCACCGCCTTGAAATAAAATCTTATCGGGTACAAAATGAATTTATACGATATATCTAGCAACAGCAACATTTATATTAAACCTTATAATGTCTACAAAAACATGAGTCACAAGCAGAAATACGTAAATAAATAATAATAATGAATTAAATAATTATGCTAATTAGCAACAAGAATAGAACAGTAATAATAAGGGAAGATGTATGTAGAATTTAGAAGAGAAAACGAAAGTGAAAGACAAAATAACGGTATTGCTGAAGCAGTCCATCTAGTCATTCATGGAACACATCACTGTGTTTAACCGCCTTTTCTCTTCAGAATTTTCCATTAGTCCCAATAAAACACAAGTGACAACTAGAGGTCAAGAAATGCTGTTAAGAATGAGGTGAAAATTATAAGCAGAAGCTGAAGGAGAAAGAGGAGTGAATGAAAATGGGGGCGGGGTGAAAGAAAGATAAAGAAGGAACAGACAAACGGAAAGAATGAAAATGAGAAGAGGAAGATATAGAAGAAAAGGAAAGAAAAGAACAATTTGAGATATAAGGAATTATATTAAAACATCATTATAATAAAGATGATGATGTTAAAAAAATAAACAAGAAGGAACTAAAACAGAAGAGAAAGAAGGAATTAAAAGGGCGAAAAAGAAGGAATTGAAACAAAAGAGAAAGAAAAAAATAAAAGAAGAGAAAGAAAATTAAAAATGGAAGGAAGAAAATAAAAGAAAATGTGAAATAAATTAATTTAAGAAAGAGAAAAATGTGAAAGAGATCAGTAAATATGAAAACATAAAAAATAAAAATATAGAATGATGATAAAAAAGTAAAATAGAAAGCAGTAAAATGAAGAAAGATATTGATTTTAAAAAATGAAGACAAAGAAAAAAGAAAAAAAAGGATCATATATAAAAAAGAAAAGACAGATAAAGAAAAAATAGAAGAAAAGAAAAAAACGAGTAGAAGAAAATTAAAAGATGAAAGAAAAGGCAAGAAAGTAATAGTAGTGAAGAAGAAAAAGAAGAAGAAGAAGAAGAAGAAGAAGGACGAGTAGGAGAAGGAGGAGGAGGTTGAGGGGAGGGAAGAAGAAGAAGAAGAAGAAGAAGGCAAAAGAGGAGGAGGAAGACGAAGTAATAGAAAAGAAAAAGAAAAATGTAAAGATAGGAATTAGAGGAAAATGGCAAAATATTTAAGAAATCTAAAAACAAGTAGTGGAAAATAGAATAATAGTAGCAATAGTCGTAGTAGTATTCGTAGAAGAAAAAGGAAAAAAAGAAGAAGAAGAAGAAGATACTAACATATAAAGTGTATGTAAGTGCAGATTTGTTGTTGGAAGTCGTGGTAAATACGGGAATAAAGTCGGTAATTTGAAGAGACCAAGAAGACTGTGATTGGGTGGGTATGAAACGCTAAATCGAAAGAAGAGAAAAGATCACGGTCAAGGGGTTGGAGGTAGATGGAAAAATAGGAACGGGGGAGGAGGAGGAGGAGGAGGAGGCATAAGGATAGGAGCTTAATTTGAAATTAAGTCTGTCTGAGATCACAGAATGAGCAATTGAGTTGAAGCACACCATTCTTCTAACCTCTGCCGGCGCCAGGAACAAGTGAATGCTTCTGTGATTTACGAATTTCTTGACACCAACCATCCGTTCCGCATAAGAATCGTCGCTGACACATTAATAAATCTTTGATTAACACAACGGCCCGCTTTCCTCCGCTCGTTTTTCTCCACTTCCTCGCTTTTCGACCCCCAACAGCTCATTTCTTCCATTTCTCAAAGACTCTCTCCCATATCCAACTCTGTCTATCATTTGGGCTCCTTTATTCCGTTTCCAATTTTCTGCTTCAGTCCAACGCACCACCATCCATCCATCCAGCCAGCCATCCATCCATCCATCCAGCCAGCCAGCCATTCACTTATTTTATCCTTAACGAATGGTTGCTTACTTTTTTTTTCTTTCCGCCCTTTTAATGACTTTCTTTCACTCTTTATCTCTACTTGTACGCTCTCTTTAATTTTTCCATCATTCTTGACACTGCCTTTCAGGTTTTTCTCTCTTCGCAGTCTTTCTATCTTATTTTGGTCATTTTCAGATGCCAGTCAATTTACTCAAGTTTACTCAGAAGCGTTCTCAATTGCGTTTGTCTTGTAAGATTTATTTCGGACACACAAAAAAAGAAAAGAAAGAAGAATGACAGTAAGAAAATAAAGAAGAGCATACAAAAGAGGGCATGGAAATAGGGGACAGATAGAAAGACAACAAAAAACGAAAAGATAACGGTATATAGACAAATATAAACAAAATGAGATAAAACTTAACCAATCAGATTGTCGAATGTCGTCTTCTACACGTTTAACTTTCGTGCATTTGTTTATTCACGAGATTACCATCATGAGGATTTTAAAAAGTTTAGCGAGAAATCGCACACGACGAGCAAAGACTAAAACATGTAAAGAAAACTAAGAATATGTTAAGTAAATTATAAATAAATAAAATATTTGATAAATTATATTTAAAGTGGTTTCTGAGAATGTTGACAGAAAAATGAACTCTTTGAACGAAAAGCCGTGTTTTTTCAGTTACAAAATACATGGAAACGAAATGTTTTTTTTTCTGAAATCCGGTAAAACATTCGAAGATCAAGGTGGTATTCAACTTTGCTTGATCATAAACGCACTTCGTGGCCCAGGTCTAAACCCCTTTCGAATCTTTCTCTTTAATAAGATTTCTCAAATATTCAGTCCGGTAGACGAAAATAAACAAATATACTGTTTAATAAATGAACGGAGCGTCTAATCAAATATGGGCATCCACTGAAAAATAATGTTTAAGTAATAAAATATAGAATATAAGAAGCATAACAAGAAGCATTTTATGGAATATGAAATAATATCTTGAATTACTAAAGAGTAAATTTATTCTAAAATCGCCATTGGCTTCAACCACGACCTCCAGACGACTTCTGAATTTCCTTCAACTCTTCTGGACGATCTCCTTGTTTAAATTGGTGAATGCTGCCATAATCCTTGCCTTCAATTCATCTTCATTGTTACAAGGAGTTTTGTTGTTCTCTCGCTCAGCTCCGCCCCACACATAATAATCAAGGGGGTTGCAGTTTGGGGAGTTAGGGGAGCAAATGTAAAGAGTTATGTATCTGACAGACATACATGGCTTCTTCTGCTTGTGGCATGCTGCAGAGTCATGTTGCCATGCATAGGATTTTCCAGCAGCCATCGTCTTGACCTAGGGCAGCACTACCTCCTCAAGTCACTTGATGTAGGCCTCCATGTTGAGTCCTAGGCTTTGTGGGAAGATGAATGGAGGCATAACTTCGCCGTCACTTGTGATCACTCCAAACACTTTGGTGTCGACTGGATATATCATCCAACTCTTTCCGAATCCTCTACACTGTCCTCAGATTGACACCGAAACACCCTGAAATGTTTGTATTGGAGCTTCCGGCGCGAATGCAAAGCAGTACAGAATGTTTTTTCTAAATTTCTAAAGGAGTCAATTGCGTCACGCTGCTCTTTTTTCACAGTCGGTATCCAACTGACCCTAATATACGTTATAGATGACAAAATCAAAAACAAACAACGAGCACGTGCCAAATTAAAAAATATAAAATGGCGACAATTTACCCATCGCACTTTGTAATTCCATTAATAAAACATTATTTTCATCTGAAGCCCTTGAGAAATTACATCGAATTTTCCACTTTATCTATCTATCTATCTATCTATCTATCTATCTATCTATCTATCTATCTATCTATCTATCTTCACACACACAGGCACACAAACACACATATATATATTTATATGTACACCTATTCATTCTTTCTGATTTTTCCAGCTCAATTTCCTTCGCTTGATGTTTCACTGTTTTCGTGCATACATGTCTTTGTTTTTCTTACACACACACACACACACACACACACATACACACATATATATATATATATATATATATATATATATATATATATATACAGAAAGTGGGAAAAAGAGAGAGAGAGAGAGCGAAAACTAACGAGAGAGGAGAGAGAAGTTTGGTAAGGAGAATGAAAATCATAAAATTGAGAGAATAACTGATGGAAATGAAGCATGACAAGAAATCAGTCCAGGAAGAAAAATAACACAAAGAAACTGACATAGATTGATTTATAATGTGGACGATAGTAAGGAAAGGAGTGACGCAGACAAAGAGAAAGCAAGAGAGTGTTTGTGTGTGTGTGTGAGAGAGAGAGAGAGAGAGAGAGTGAGCGTGATTGATAAAAAGAAGTATTAAAATGAAGAAGTAAAAGAAAATAAATGCCAGCAGCCCAAATCAAATAAAACATTGCGACAATTAATGAAAAGAAAAGAAAAGAAAAAAGTGGAAAGTAAAAAGAAAAGGAATGAGATAAAGAACAAAGAATCGTGAATAATTTGTAGAATGAAAAATAAAAAGAAGGAGAAAAGAATACAATAAAAGGAAACAAGAAGAAGAGATCATTACACGATGAAACAATAGAGAGAAAAAAATGGCGCAGAATATTTAGAAGAAAATGTGAATATCGAAAGTATCACAGGGACGGAAAGACATCTCGATATAAAGTTAAGAAACGAATAATAAAAAAAAAGGAAAAAAAAAAAAAACAAAAAAAAAACAGAGTATCTTTTCCGGAAGTGGCGAGAGTCGTACCAAGCAAATGTGAGCGAATATCGAACAGAAAAGGGCATGGCATGACATGGCTGCGTTCAGCTGGAATAAAGCAAAGGACATTAGCAAGTGGAAGAGGGGCGTGCAGGCGGAGCGGAATGAATAAACGAATGAAAGAGTGAGACGAATAGAAAAGCGACCTCTGTCGCTCGGGCGGCTGCCCTCGACGGTCTGACCAACAACAATCCAATGACTTCATCAGTCTGTATTGAATACAGCAAACCAACCCCAACCTGGTCATACTTCATCACTGTTCATCTCTCCCGTCTTCAGTTTTGGATTTCTCCAACCCTGATACATTCTGATCAAATCTACCATGATGTCTCCTGTCTCCCCATCGGGGATTGCCATCAACACTGTCAATGTCACCCTCACAATGCCGCTGCTACAAGTTTACGCTTTCCCCTGTTCCATCCACTGGTTCCACCCCTCGGTTTGCAAAGCAGAAAGCCAGTCACCGTCTGTCTAACTGACTGCACCTGATTACTGCTCTCCTTGACTCCTGTCTCTGTTCCTCATCATCATGTTTATCCCACCCTCTTTTAAAAACTTAGCTTCCGGTCTACTTTCATTTCAAAACCTTTATCTGTTTACTCTTACTTTCACTTTCAGTTTCCCAATTTTTCTTTCGCAGTCTTTTTATTTTCCTTCATTTTTCTTCCTTCTTTTTCTATTTCTTTTTTTTTTCATGCTTACCGTGAATATTTTGTTTCATTTGTTTTCTGTCCGTCATTCATTTAATAGTTTATATGTTGATTCTTTTTTCCATCCACTTCTTTACAAAATTATTCATTTTACTCCTTTCATTCAAACTTTCTTAGTAACTCTTTTTTTTAGTAGCAATTCTTTCTTTTTTCCATTTCTTTTTCATTATTGACATTCTTTATTTGGTACTTTCTTTTTTGTTCTTTTATATATATCTTTTTCCAGCTTTTCACTTTTTACTTTCATATTTCTTATCATTTTCTAATTCAAGTTCTTTCTGTTCTCTTCCCATTTCTTTTTTTATTTCTTTTACATACTATTTAGTTTTCATTCTTTTCGTTTTTCATTCATTTTTTACATTCTTTCTTATCTCATTTTATTTATTATTCACATTTTTCTTTTCTTGTGAATAAACTTTGTTAATTTAAATTATTTTTCCTTCTTTTCATTATTTTCTTTTACAGATTCTTTTTCTTTCTTTCCTTCTTTCTTTTTTTACATTATTTATTTATTTCATATGTCTTTTTTCTGTCTTCAATTTTTTCTTTTCTTTTATTGTTTATTAAAATTTTTAATTTAAATTCTTCCACATCTTTCTTTCTTTCTTTCTTTCTTTCTTTCTTTCTTTCTTTCTTTCTATTTCGTCTTTCCTTCCCCCAAAGCTTTGAAGGTGGTTCCAGTAGTGTTGTAGTACTGGAAAGAAAAGGGACCACCAATGACTGCTGTGATAATGGTTTGCAGTTAATTAACGAAGAACGAAGGCAATATTGTGACGATTAATTCACTCAATAAATACCAGCGAGTGAGAAGAGGGCAGGGAGAGGTTTGTGCTCGGCTCTCTGAAGCATTGTCCAACCTATTGATCGGACAATAGTGACGGGAGGGGGGCAAGTCTCTAGGCCTGGTTTTCTTTTATTTATTCATTTGACTGTCCCCCGCCGAAAAATCTTGATACATTAGATTTATTTTCAGCAACATTACCACCACTATATTTAATGTTTCTGCTGTTTCATAGTTGTTTAAATTTGCTTCTTGCTTCTTCACTCCATCATCATTATCATCAACATAATCTTTTCCCGCGTAGTCTGCGGACGGGTTTATGGAACGATTATTGCGTTACGCCTGAATCAATCAATTCATCATCATCATCATCATCATTGTCAATAATATCATAAATTAAAGTATTTGCTTACTTTAATAAAGGACTATAATTATTATAGTTTTTTATATTATCCTTTAGATTCGTTCCTTTCATAGCAACCTTCTCGGGTTACCGTTTTCTACTGACATGAGTTCGAATGATTATATTGAATCATTTGTTAGGTCTGCTGCTAAGAATGTTGGTTCACTTGTGCGAGATATATTTCTCGCTAGAATCTATCTTTCCCATTTATAAATCTACCATTCGTCCATACATTGAATATTGCTGTCATATCTGGTCTGGTTCTTCTGCTATGTATTTAGAGATTCTTAACAAAATCCAAAGAAGAATCTGCAATTTTATCGGTTGTGATCTGGTATCCCAGCTTCTGTCACTTTCCCATCACCATAACGTAGCTTCCTTGTGCCGTTTCTATAAATATTTTCATGGTAATTCATCTGATTAGCTTTCCTGTTTGGTACATCGACTTTACGAAATTAAGCTCAGTACTTGAACCGCGTGAAGACTATGAGACCACCGTATAACAAAGTGGGTGTCCACATGAAATTTTAAGTCGCGGAAAGACAGCAAAGTTTAAGTATTATTTCTTATATTGGCTCTTTATATATATATATATATTTTATATTTTACATCGAGCACTGTTAGATCTATTTAATAGTTTCTTCTACTACACTTTCCTGTCAACTACAATCTTCAAGCATTTAAATGCAACGTCAATCGCCATCTTCTGTCTCCTTGAAACCTGTTTTTTATTGCACTTTTTCCTCAATAGCGTTTGTTCAGTTTCTTTCTGTTGTCCATAAGAGAGGAATTGAGTTAAACAAATATATTAACAGAGACAGTAATACAAACATATACAAACGAGAGTGCTACAGCAAGAATGTTCGGTCCAACTGTCAGAGCTGACTGCTTGAAGCTTCATCCTCCAAAATGTAGTAACTTCTCCTATTTATAGCTGGGAGAGTGCGTGCGTGGGTAAATTACCATAACACTTTCTATGGCATAACACCTTGCATCTTAGTGGCTTTATCGCCTTGTTTGTGGGAAATAATTAAAACACATTTAATACCCTACTACTATTAATAATTTGAATTATTTCGTGTGATCATTAGCTCCATGTGTATCTAGTAAAATTCACTGAGAATCAAGTGACAACAAGTCTCATCAATAACTCAACACGCCATCCATAATTCTTGAAGATTTCAACAATGCTGTTTAAATTTTCAATTCCTCCTCTAATTTCTAATTCTTCCAGTCTTTGTTTCATAAAGCACTTCCATGTGTTGTAATAATTCTCGGTAAAATCGTTGCCTTTATAGACAATATTTTAGTTCTTCGGCCATGTTCAGGTATTTATTTTTCTTTTTACTTTCTTTAATTTTCAATCACTGGTCTACCGAAACAGCTACAGCAATTATCTAATAGTTTTTTTCTATTTATATTTATTATTATTAATTATAATAATTTAAATAAAGGAACGCAACCCTTTCAACTTTCAGTCCCGATGTTCACACATTACTCCCCTAAGGGACAAGCAAAAATGGTAAAAGTTAGGCAACTAACAAGTAAATCTGTGATTTGGTAGCTCATTTTAATTCACCAAGACAACACATGTACTTGTTAAGACCTCCACACAAATTGTCTAGAACAACAAGAGGCATGACTGGTGTATCCCGAGGGTACTTTCATTATTATTTTTATTGTTATTATTATTGTTGTTGTTCTTCAACTGTTAGTATGTTATTTAGCACGTGTGTTACGCCCTGTCGTTACCTCGGATAAATAATGGACTATTCTGATTTGATTGTGAGAGAATGCGGAAGAAAAGGTATATCAGAGTTGCTTTTAGGTTTTATTGGGAAATTGAAAACAAATATCATAATAAGAAAATGCTGTGGAATAAGACACCCCCGGTAACATAAATGAACTAGGCAACACGCCTTAAATAAAGAACCCAAAGTGTGTCGAGGAAAGTCCTGACTTGTCGACATCTACGTCTGCAGAGAGGAACCCAGATGAGGCTATGTGTATGCGGGGTCTACGGGGAATTTTTGCCCGAGCCTAAGGTCTCGGTTCGCCCCACATAATAATCGGCCTTTTGCTATTTTCTGCCTTGTGAAGAGGTTGGTAAATACCAGTCCGTTAGAGTAAAAGCAGTTCGCTGTCTGGTTCGTGACACGACAAGACCTCTATCTTCGGGTGACAAAGCCTAGGTCTTAGGGCGGAGGCTAACTAAGTCGAAGTTCTGTCTTCGGATAGAGACTCGGCTGAGAAAACAGATCAGTTCTATACCTGAACCTGCTTTTGCGAGGGTTGGGGCTGGTTAAATTTTGACCGGTGGAAACGCGCGGGTTCCCCATTGTAAACTTGGTCTCGTGTCGCATCTAGTCCGCAGTGGGTCGTTCGGTAAATACCAGTCCGTTGGAGTCAGGCAGTTCGCTGTCTGGCTCACGACAAGACAGTATCTCTGTCTTCGGGCAGAGGGTGACAAGACCTCCGTCTTTAGGCGGAGCATGACTGAGTCGGGCTCTGTCTTCGGATAGAGACTCGGCTGAGAAAAACAGACCAGTTCTGTACTCGAGACCGCTTTTGCGGGGCTGAGTAAATTTTGACCAGTGGACCTCGTGGAAACCATCGGGTCCCTCATAGTAAACTTGACCTTGTGTCGTATCTAGTCCACAGTGGGGAGATCGGTAAATACCAGTCCATTGAAATCAGGAAGTCCGCTGTCTGGCTCGTGACAAGACAAGACCTCTGTCTTTGGGCAGATTGGTAAAAATACATCAACAGCAATAACAGCAGTTGGAACTTCAGAAACAACAAAATTTAATTGAAATAACGTGGAAGAAATCGGAAAATTTCCCAAGTTCTTTCACTCCCGTAGCTGAATTTACATACAATTCAGATGATAGAATTAGCTTTTCTGTTTATTTTAGAAGATACGACCAAGAATGCAGTGACTGGAAACGACGAGAAAAAACAAGGGTTTTGTTGAGAAAGTTAGCACTGGTAGAACATGAAAAATACTGTAATTTTGTACTACACCCCCCTAAAAATACTGGAGAAACTTGTTTTGAAGAAACAGTAAATATTCTTACTAAAAGGTTTGTTATTCAGTATCCGTTGGAAGTGTATAAATCTGACGAGAAAAAGATGAAAATCTCGTATATGCTGGAATCGTTTACAAGGAGTGTGAAAGATTCAAATTAAATGAACTGACTCCAGATATGTTTAAAGAGTTAATTTTCGTTCAAAGGTTAACGGCTAGAAATGACACAGAAATACGTGCTAGAATTCTAACGAAACTTGAACGAAATTAAAAACTAACACTATAAGGAATATCGGACGAATGTCAGAGAATCCTAAATCTAAGACGCGATTAGGAAGAAATTGAAGAATAAGAATATATATACAAGCTAAAGAAAAATGTGGAAAAAGAAAAAAATAATTAATGTTTTAAGTGTGGAAGGGTACCGCTCGAGTTGCCCACAATAAACTCAACCTTATGTTACATCTCATCTTAGTGGGAAGACTGGGTAAGTACCATTCTGTTGGAGTCAGCTGAGAAGAATTTCTAGTGACGTTTCGGCGATTAGCTTAAGCGTGACATAATATTATAATCGGTAGGAGTGATTTATAACAGAAAAAAAGAAATAACGAAGGAAAGAAAGGGAAGATAGTTGAGGCGATATCTATCTTACGTTTAATGTCTGCTTCCATGAAAAGAAAAATCTTGTTCATTTTAATTTTTTAATTTGTACCCTCTCAGTTCTTTAAATATAGTATTAACCTTAATTTGTTTATCAGTTTGTATTGGTATGTTCCAGAGAGTAGAAGCTTCATCGTTTTCTATTACTGTTGACGATCTCATAATATTAAAAGACATAGAAAAGTGGCATATATAACATAGTCGTCATTGTAACGATGAGCTTAAAAATAATTTACTGTTATCATCTATAGTATCTAAGTAAATAGAAAAAAGTTGATTTGTATAAGCGTAGCTTAGATGTGGTACAAGGCCGGAAGTATAGGGCACACAGTGAGGAGCGAACACGCTACCCAGTTGTATATTGTTCTAGAGAAACAAGCTTGCTAACAATTACGCCACGTCGAGGTATCCAAAGTAAATAGAGAAATGTCGCACTGTAGCATTAGTTATTGAAATTATAGTCCTATAATTAATAATTCAAGGGTCGTTGCGAAAGAAATGATTTCTATATCTGTTATAGAGTAGTTTCACAGTGGAGGCTTGTATTTCACTAAGTCAGTCCTAAAAAGGTTCGCCGTACAAAACGTTAGGAACTTGTTATAATAGTTAATGACGCAGCAATCTAGTTGTGGTGGCTGATACTTTAATGTCCGACATCGACTGACTCACCAACTCACTGAGCGACTGGCGACTGCTACTACTACTATTTATTATAGGTGGAAGAGTCTATTAACTATAGAATAGGTGTGTTCCAGTATAACAATATCATTATGTTTGCCAGGAGAGGTTGAACTTTACAGCATATCGCCTATAATTTTTTTATTAAAGATATTACGAAATCGTGTGTAGTTAAGTGTGTAGCTCGAACTGGTGTTTGGTGACAGCGGTTGTTGTTCCATGATGGGCCGT